CTCTGGTAGTACGTCTCTACCTAGCTCATGCTGTGTCCGAACCGCTAACCAGTATTCCACTAGCCGGTACAAGCTATCGTCTCGCGGATTCTGCTCGGGTATGGGTGCTCTGCGACCTTGTGGTTGCGAGCGCTTCAGCAATACCATCTCTGTGTCACTCTTCACGTCCGAACCGCTAACCAGTATCCCACTAGCCGGTACAAGCTATCGTCTCGTGGATTCTGCTCGGGTATTGGTGCTCTGCGACCTTATGGTTGCGAGCAGCTTCAGCAATACCATCTCTGTGTCACTCTTCACGTTTTCTGCTGACCCTGGTTCCTCTGGGTAAGCCTCTCAGCGGTGCATACGTTTCTCTTGCTGCCGATTTATATCGACCTTAGACTGCCGTGGCCAGGTCGATTCGGAGATCATGGGGTAACAGTTTGCTGCGCCGCTCTAGACAAGGTATTTAATCGAGACTGGCTATTCTATCTCAGTAGGTAAATTGGCTATTTCTAACAATATAATTTCTTGATTCCTCGTATTTCTATGAGTCTTGAACCTTGAATCTCAACTGTCCTGACCCTAGGCTAGGGTGTCCGGGACATCGGCTTCTGAATATCCGGATGAGACAGTAGAAACATATTTTTGTTTCCCACCTCCTCTACCACCCTGGAGCTTAGATTTCTGGAGAAACTACTTGGGAAACGTCAAGGTTGAAACTGGTACCAAAATCTTTCCATTCGCTATTGAGGGCAAAAACTCAGACGACGGCATCCTTGATGCAGTACTGCACTCCGTTTCTCCTGGAACCACCACCCCAAAACAAGATCTCAGCCCAAGCCAGATGGCCAGGCCCAAACTTTATCATTCAGCTGCGGAACGTCGTGCTGCCAACGCTGTTCATAACCAGAAACACCACGAGAAGTAGCTCTTTTGGCCTCATTTGCTGGCCGTCGCTAATCTCTTGCCTCAGGCATCGAGCGAAAAGAAATCAAATTCGAAGGGAGAGACACCAGGAGAATCTGCTGCGGTTCGTCTTTGACTACCTGCTCTCTTCATTCTGATTTGACTTGGGCTTTAGCCAAGCAGCTCAAACAGCTCAGCGGGAAAAGCGGGAACGTCTCGCTGCAAAAAAACGCAGGGCCAAGGCCGAGGCCAGTCGGTGTGTCTCCCCATGAATCCTCCTCCTTATCCACTGAAGCTTTCTGTTTCAGCGTTGCCGATGCCCAGGCTCAGAGTCATCCTGACTGAAGCGTCGACGACCTCAGATGCTCGTTCTGAGACGTTGACGATGAGCACTGCTTCCACTGTCCTCGAGCAGTTACAAAACTTCACCTGTCGCAACCCAAGACGTTTTCTGCAGGCTGTAGTGACGGACTACATTGCAACCCAGCACAGACCCAGTCTCTTTGCGACGGTCGCCGAGCTCCAGGCAATCATCGCGAAAAGCCAAAACCTTGGCAAGGATTCGATAGAAAAAGACAAAGGGAAGCAATCTCTGCTGCTGGTCTCCAGCTGGGCCAACGAGATACGTATCGAAGTTACTTCGCAGCTACCACTTCACTGTGAAAAGGTATGACAGCGAGAAATTTTTGTTTCAGCAGGCCCATTCCAACTGATGATCTTGGGTTCACCATAGCGGAGGACTAATGTAAATCTTGTATTTGAATCTTATAGTTCGTCTTTGCTTCTGAATGCAGTTGTGCGACCTAGTGGCGGGTGGCTTCAGGGCTGATGGCTCAAGACCCCGACAGGGCGCTGATACGTCAACCCAGGCCCGCAGGAAACGGAACAGAGAACAAAGGATATAAGCAAAACAGCTTTCAATCTTACTGAGACCACAGTTGAGATATTGCATGAAACAACAGCAGTACATTCAAGAGATTTTGTATATAAGGTCCTTCAACGAACACCCTAGGTGATGACCTGTATGAAGCAGCTGGCGAGAGCCGCATTGAAAGCTGCTTCGGCCTCTGCTCGAGTCCCATAGCGCTTGAAGACAGCGCCTTTGACACCAACGACGTGGCTAGCGGCAACGTTCCTGAAACGTAGAGGTTTAGACAACTTCCTCAGGAGCAAATAAATAAGAGACATACCAGTCAGTGAAGATACCGACTTGCCTCCCTCTGGTGATAACGTACCAATTCTCGCGAGGAGGAGGAGGAGGGAACCGGTGCTGACAATTGGGACAAGTGAGAAAATGGGGGGTGTCGTCAGCAGCATCAGCACTAGCGGAAGGACCTGCATCTGCGCAAGCTCTGGAATGAGCTTGGCACAGGCTGACCTGGAATGAGCTTGGACAACTACTGTGTCCCCATCATCATCTGTTAATCTTTCAGCGCTGGGAAAGTAGAAACGAAGGAAAGCTAACCATCAATGCTGCTCTTCTCCGCATCTGGAGCTAAATTAGAACAAGAAGAAAGAACCAAGGGAAGAAAGCCTACCGTGGACTTCGTCCTCTAAACCTTATCAGCTCCGAAGACAATCTTTAAAATTAGGTCTCACCTTTTTCCTCAGTTTCGGCAGTGGCAGGGGTTTCATTTTGGTTACCGGCCTGCGCTAAAACTTGATCAAAAGAATGATTGCCGAAAAACATATGACATACCTGAGTGCCAGATCAGAGACTTGGGCCGTCAAGGCTGTCGATGCGGTACAAGATAGCCATGAGGACCTCTTGGGAGACAGGGACAGTGGTGGCGTCATCGGAAGCAGTCGATGCTGGAGCCTTTCCTTTATCGAAGACCATGGTTGAATTCTAGGCATGTGGGAAGCAGATTTACAGTTTAAATACCGGTCACAGCTATGCAGTTCGGCAGACCTGCCGCTCGGCTATTTCCGTGGATCACCTGAGTCAATTCCCCATCCTATCAGCACCTCGACACCATCTCTTTCATCGCTGAAACGATTGCAGAGCTTCATTCGGACAGCGAAAAAAATACTCTTGAACCTTACAGGAAGTTGCAGGTGCGCAATCGTAATATCTTACTGATTTTTTACCTCAACAAATTGCTAAACAGAGCTGGTCGAGTCTGGCCTTGAGGAGAAAATATAGGTGAAATATTTTTGTTCTCATGGAGCTATCCTCACAGCCTTCAGATCATACAGGCTACGCGTGACACTGCTGGCCCACGAAACTATCATGGCTATCATGGCTTCGCTCAAATCCACGGCAAGAATGTTTGATATAGTGCTCATTACCGCCCTTTGGATGCTGATGCAAAACCAATGTTTAAGGTATCTTCCCTTCCTGCAATCCTCTACGTCTCCTAGTTAACTATAAAGCAGATCCAGTTCAGTTGAGAGCAGACTCGCCACTGTATGTTCGACTTATCCATTGGCTTTCCTTTCCCTGATGACGATCTGCCCAGCCACAATCATCTCAGAGGAGCTGGGGTAATCTGGCACCTGTTCTCGCTTACCAGGTAAGGTTATAAACCTCTTGTCTCTCGGTTACTGAAATGCCTCCTTTGTCGGCCTGAGCTCCAGACCTGGGGTCAATCCAACCAACCGCCGAAGTAGAACAGCAGCTAGTGGAAGCAAATTCAGGTAGGCTTGGCATGTTAAACATCCACTTCTTTCAATGACATGAAGTCACCAGGCGGATCATATGATGCTGAGGTTTGAGGTCGAACGAGCTAATTCAGGACTGACGGTTGGAAAACCCTTGTCTTTACTGACTGAATCGGAGCCTCCAAAAGCGTCTAGCGAGAGACTCTGCCTGAAACCATGTATTTAAAGCCTTGTACTCGAATTATCTTTTCTCAGTCTTCTTGAAAGTGCCAGAAGGTTCTGGAAGGTTCCCCGGTCACCGTAGAAGGTCGGCCGTGGAACAAAAGCTTAAAAGTGGCTACTGTACAGTCACTCCGAACCTTTCATCAACTCTCGCAATCCTTAAGGAGACTGGTAAGCGGTCCAAGCTGATTATTCACACTGATACTGGAGCTTCCACAGATAACTCATGCCGAGTCTAGCGTCAGACATTCTAGAGGTTGCTACCTCCGACTTGGGGCTAGACCTCAGGGTAGAAGAACAGCTTCAGGTGAAGGGAAATTTGTTTTCATTGCCTCAGAAACAAATGTATTTGACAGCTGGCCGAGAGGGGCTTTCAGGAGAAACAGCATTGGGCAATGTCCCCTGAAGTTCGTGTCCTCATCAAGGTCAGTTTCTGAGACACCCAGAGCGACTTGGCCCTGATCCAGGAACTAGGCAAAATTGCTTGAGCTGCCAGCAGTCGCAGCTGGATGCTGCAATCCAGAACTCCATCAGATCCTTGCGTGCGATGGAACAGGAGCATGACTGTCTCTCCTGCAGAAAAGTTCGAGGCCGATATCCAGGTAGGTCAATCTTGTCTTCAAGATCAGCTTGCCCTTTGAAGGACAAATATCTAGGCTGTTCAAGACAGACGGATATCCCTTGGAAAGAAGCCTTTAAATGCAGCTGGCCGAATCTTCCTCCGAGTATGTGACAACCTGGTTTCCTGAACATTCGCTCATTTCAGCATCACAGGAGCGACTGATAAAGAAACGACAAGCGGATATCAAGGTATTCCATCCTTTCTATCTCCTCAATATTGTCGGCTGATATCAGTAATCCAGGCTCAGGTTGCCAAGGAACAGCAGGACCTGCTTGATGCTGGCATTGCCAAAGCTGGGGAGTTGCTGAACCTTCTCGAGATGGAGCATAGCGAGGGGAAGCACAGAATGAAGGTCTTGTCAGAAGAACTTTTTGCCTTGGCTGAGGCGTGTGTTGGAGAAGCCTCATAAAGTAGAATATAGTTCAATAGACTCTGTTTCTTGCTTTTTTGTGGGACGGGAAGGAACATGGTACAGACTGCCTCCGAATGACAGCCTCTGCTTTTGGGCAGAAGCAGGGATTCGACTCCTGCCAACAGTATATATCTGGTCTATGATTAGTACGCTTTCCTGTCTCATCACCGTCTTTCCTTGGTGCTTTGGTACTCTTGTCAGGGAGTTCTACTCAAGTGAGGAGAAGGGCTTACATTGCACCAAGCATGATAAGCTACTGTGGCTCAGTCGGTTTGAGCTCTCATGCCAAGTGTCAATGATTAAGTTGTACCTTGTTTCGGAGGGTGGGGTTCGAGTCCCTCCTGTAGCACTACAGGTGGAATCCATACTTTTTCCTTTTCTCTTCAAACCCAAGAACAAAATCCACAAGAATAATTAATTCAAGCAACTTTTCTGTGAGCTTTGTCTGTGAGCTTTTACCCGGAAATCTAGAATGGAACAGCTGCGTTTGACATCCAGTGACTGGTGTGACCTGTCACGTGCTTGTCCTAGTCCCTGACGGTGACTGCCAGCGTCGAGACGAAGCAATGCTTCCCGTGTGTCAACTGTACAGTCCTTCCACCGGTTACATCGTGCATCCCCATGGACGAGGTATTTATCCCCTTGGTTTCATTCTTTCTCTTCTGTTGACCTACTCTGCAGTACCTAATTCTCTGGAGCTCAGGAATTGTTTATCGACTTTTATGCAGAGCAGCGACAGGATGAATTGCTCAACGCTTATCTTCGTGAGCAGAAGGACGGTTATATCGGTGCTAAGCTCGTTGGCGGAGCCTATTTTGTTGGCTGGTTGCAAGAGCTATATGGGATATGCGAGGAGCAGCATTTTGAGCCTTTGACAGACCCAACAGAGGATGAAGTCAAGGTCGACAAAGAAATTCGATGGGCTTTCCGCAAGGTATGTCGCCTTTCCCTTCAGATATTCTAGCGCTGACGACCAAGCAGCAAATTCACAAGCGATTGTGCAGGATGTACCAGACGTCGCCTACGACGCTGCTCTCAGATGAATCTCACAAACTCCGATGGTCCCATCTATGCACCACTGTTTCCGTATCCCAAAGTCTATCACGGTCCTGCTTATATCTATAGAAATTACTGGTACGGACCAGAAGAAAAGAATTTGTCAACTCGATAAATTGGTCAAGTAAAAAATAATATTGTTTTGTTCAAGACGAAGGATAAGCTGGGAGACTACAAATGGCCTTCAGGACAGACCGACGAATCTCCTTCATGTCTCTCTCCTGCAACCCTCCCATTCTCTCTGCACCACGCAAAACGGCAAAAATCATAGCTAATACCCAAACCCCGCAATCGTATCCGTTGGTTTGTAGTTTGGACGAAGAATTCTGGCATTCAAGCTCAGACAAGCCAAAGAAGTAAAGAAAAAGGACGTACCACAATGGGAGTCACGATCCACTCATCGACGGGGACATTGAGGTCGTGTCCATTCTTGTTGGCCAAGTCAATAAGCCCTTGAACGAGATCCACTACCATCTGGTATAGATAATCAGTTGCTTTCTCGGATTTCATGGAAACAGGATGTACCGCCGTTTCGTTGTTGGATTGGCGATGTTCACCAAAACTGTCGAAGAGGTGAATGTTGCCGGTATTGAGGTAGACTACATAAAGGACCCAGTGTTTCGAAACTGGCACGATGGTAAGGCAATAGCCAAACAGTCCGCTCCCAGTATGATGTATTTTTTGTCAGTCGCCAGACATGCTCCAGACTGCTTTGAACAGGAAGATAAGAGGATAAGAGGGCAAACCGTGTTGGGACCGTGGATAGGCAATGCTCAAACATAACAGAGGCACCGACCATGACACACTCCTCGTTAAGCCAGCCGCTTGGATCACGAAGACGTTGAAGAGACTGAGAAGAGATCGTATTTGCAAGAAGTCCCTTGGACCTGTTGCCCAGAAACCGTCTCTCCGAACCAGGCCGCTCCGGACTGTCGAAGAATGATTGCGAAAAGCGCAGGAAAACACTGTGCATATCCTGCGATGCGAGCTGCCGCTAAAAGATGGATCAGCATACAGCATAATGGGAGCAAAAGGACTGACCAGCTCGGTATCTCCCAGAATTTGTCGCTGAAAGGGCATTTGGGTGCTTCGGAAGAGTCTGGGCTGAACAATGACTTGGGTAACTGGTTCGCCAGGGACTGCATCTTTCCCTTCTGCCTCTTCTTCATCGTCAGAGTCAATCTCCAAAGCCTCCATAATCTCGGCGATGGGATAGGCTCGGTCTACCTCCTGATCGTCCTCATCTTCATCTAAATCAGAGTCGTCATCAATGATAGGACTGATAGGAAGGGATGGAACGACTGGAGTGAATAGTGAAGGAGGTCTTCTTCTGGTGTGCAGCAGCTCTCGAACCAAGGATTTCGCTCTGGCTATACACCTGTCATAGTGCTCGACCGAGAGTACAGAGGTGGCCCAATGAAGTCAGAGCGAGCTCAAATGATCCCTTTGATGTCGAAAAAAGGTTTCCAAGGAGGGATCTACACCGGTTGGATCAGCAAGCTCTGGAGTATAACAGCAAGAAAAGCACGAACATTGTCCGCAGCTGAGAGCTAATTCCAAAGCAGCATACTTTCGCCCATACCATCGGCACATGTTGTCTGCTTCCCGGCCCAAACGACGTCGCTCTTCAAGGCTCCGGTCCAAGTACAATCGAGAGCGAATGGCCTTCCGAAGCTCAAGGTCCTCTAGCCATCGGGGTATCGGAGCATTAGGGGTTTTGGAGATCCAGACGTCTTCGTGAAGGTGAGGCGATTCACGCAAGTCTTGAAGCGTCGTAGGAAGTTGATGCGGAATCGGGGTTCGTTGTCCTGGTAGACGTATCGACTGCAGAGTATCGACATAGTCGTTGAACTTGTTTACCGCTGACAAAAGCGCAGGAGACCGTGTCTTCATGCTCTTCCTGGTCTTCTGATGGAGTTTGGTACCTTGGAAACAATGAGAACCGTATTGAGACAAAGCAATAGACCTACCAAGAGCTTCCTGCCCACCACCAACTGCCTGATCCAGCCTGTCGATCTCCATGAAGCTTCCAATGGCCCTTTTACGAAGACTGATCTTGAGATCTCGCGCCAGTAGAAGCACTTGCACGAAAGCGATCTCGACACCTTCTAGTTCAGGATATGATTCTGCGACATTGAGAGATGCATAAAGGTCGTCGGCCTTGACCTGGAGAGTAGCATGAACCGATTCCAAGGCGGAGAGATTGGCCAAAGCCACAGCTGAACCAGGGGTCTTGACCAGCGTCGCACGAACACTCTTGATGGAGTCGGCCACGGTATGGATTTCAGTCTGAAGAGCAAGCACTTGCTCAAGCTCCTTCTTCAGCCGCGCTGGTAGATCTAGAGAAAGTGATGAACAAAAACAGACATCGGAAAGAAAGTGGCGCTTACGAGCTCTGATAGAAGTTTGCTCAGCCTTTTGCGACGCCCACTGACGACGCAACTCATCCTCAGAATCGGGGCAGCGTCTCAAAACCGCTTGATGCTGGTTTTCCAAAGCCTTAAGCTTGATTAGCTTGCCGCGTAGCCAATCACCAAGTCCGTCTCTGTGATGAGCCGCCGTCGACTGCAGCAAGCGATCAAGCAACCATATTCGTCGAGAGCGCTGTAAAAATGTCCAGTGAGATTTGAGCAAAGAAAGACAAGAGCAGAACGTACACTTGAATGGCGTGCTATCCCTATCAAGGCTCTAATAGCCGCCCAAATCCGTTCGACTCCTTCTCCTGTCGGTAAGACCAAGTCCCAATCGTAACCTGTGGGTTGAAAACTAGCTGACAAGACCACTGGTGGGCGTATGCATGCATTGCAGTAGTGGCAAACTGAAGGCGGTCTCGAACATCAGGCGGAAATATGTCAGTACTGTCAGAGATCAGACAAATAGTGGCGGTCCGAAGAAGAAAGACAATACCAGGTCGCAGCTGCGGTCCATAACACAACCTAAATCGTAAAGACAATAACCCTGAGCCTGAGGAGGCAAAAGGGTGAAGAGATGTCGAATGAGCGATACGGGGTATTGCTGACCCTCACCAGGGGTATCGATATTGACAAAGAAAAGTGGGACATCAGTGGCGACAAATCAACGACATGATGCCGTGGTCATCGAATTGCTGTCGACCTTTCTTGCGATCGCTCTTCGCAGCCTCATGAGACTCCTCACAGGCATCGACGGCGTCGTCCGGCAGTTTCTTCGGTTTGTTCTTCTTCGGTTTTGAACGTGCAGCATCGATCAAGGCTTTGGTTTCCTGAACATAGCTAGCAGGAAGGAAAAACTTTGGATCATAGAAAGGGGGGGTATCGCCTGCACTTTTGAAATGACGGTGATGAGAGTTGCCGTCGGTGCTGACATGAAAATCGCCTCCTCTAGTGCATTGTCAGTCAAAGTCTTTCCCGATAGACATAGCAACTCACTCTCGAAAAGAGCGACCCCAAAGCCTCCCACCGAAACAGGCCGGGCAACGATCCTGCAGGACACGAGCTGCTTCCCCCGGAGTGGGAAGGTCCACCAGGTGGTTCTGAAGGTATTGCTGAAGGTCCCTGGTGCTGGCGCTGGCGTCAGTGAAATCATCCAGGGTCTCGCTGCAAAGCCGTATTGCTTGCTCAACCCGCTCGGAAACCTTGACCTTGAGACAATCATACCACTGGATTGTGTTGCTCAAAGGCTTGCATATTCCATCCTTGATGAGAGATCCCTGTCAAACGCATTAGCAAAAGTCGCAAAGTCGCCTCAGCACAGCAAGCCACGAACATTGTTATGGAGGTACCGAAATCCTCGGTGGTCGTAGTAGCTCTGGAGAGCCGAGGACATAGCGTTTACTGCATCGCAGGACCGTTCGAAAAGAGAGTCGTAGAGATCAAGGAGGGATATCGCAAAAGCGGTGCAGGGCTTGGTGGGAGAAGCTGGAAACAGCCCGTTTCGAAGGAGGACTGTAAAGACGTCTTCACATTGACAATGCAAAACCTCGATGGCGTAGACGCCTAGAAGGTGAATCAGGAAGCGAAAAAAGAGAAAATCAGAGCCACTGACAGTCAAGAAAGTGGCATTTAATCCGGCATTGGCTGCGGAGACAACCTCTGGTACAGCACGAGGACAATGGTGCAGGACTGGGCGTCGGGTAGCCGGTGAATCTGGCCTGGTATTCAAGATAAGGATCTACCAGCGCTGGAATGAGACGCTCCCATTCCCCAAAAACCTTGACAGCTTTAGCAGTCAGGCCCTGTCGAACGTGTCTTCGTGCTGGCTGAAACAGAAGCGGTTTCTGGTCTGGTTTCAGGTTGAGAATTGGGGGAAGGAGGG